TATATATATATGTATATGTATTAAACTCAAAGGCAAATTCATTGATGCAAAAGGAAGATACAAAGGTTTTAGTGAGTGAGTACAAAGAACTAACTCATAGGGTATACAACTAACTCAAAAAAAGTCTTTAAAATATACATGTATACCCCAAAAATTGTAAACGAGAAAGTCTCCAAAAAAGTAATAAATGCTTGGAGAGGGTATATGAGGCGATGAATTCATGAAAGGCTTGGAGGAGTAACCGTGAATGACACATGCGTGGGAGCCGATAAACCCACGGTAAGTCCCAATACCTAGTAGGAGCAGGTGTGTGCCCAAATCTTATAGCAGGAGCAGGAGCTGCAGAATCCAAATGCACAGGAATGTTGGATCTTAAATTTGGATGAAGCCTGAAGCATTTAGCAGGTGTGTGCCCAAATATTTTATAGTGATTACAGTAGTAGGGTCTTTGTTCTGCGACAATTGACTGTCAATACCCATTATGGGCAGTACCAAGACATATTTCTTCCATGTCAAGGAGGGTGATATCCCTCTCAACAAGAATCCTTGCAATCCAGATTAAAGGTGGGTATGTCCAATTTCATAGGTATCCCTAGTGCAACTCTAATAGAGTAGAGGACTTGATGATTAAAGTAGTGCAACTTTAGACCAGGTAGTTTAAACCATATTGGAACTATAGGGGACTCTTGACTAGGGTCAAATTCAGGAGACCAATTGAGCAATTTAATATATTTCCCATCAATTGTCATATGCTTCTTGGAAAATATTTTGGCATAGTCCTTTTCTTTTGATAATTGTATCATTACATGTTTCCCATCAAAGCGACCGACCTTCCAATCTCCTAATAGTTTAAAATCTTTAAAAACCTTTCAAATGATTTCTATTTTAGGACGTCCCAGCTGAAACTTCCCAATGAGAGTAAATTTGCACTTTTCAGCTAGGTTGGAAACTTCAACATCAGTGAAAATTAGAGCTAGTTTGTCACTCTTCCTACTAGCCTTCTTGATGAGGTTACAATTCCCCTTGCCTTCAAATAATTCATGGTAAACCTGAGGGAAAACCAGATTATTCACTGATCCCCCAGAGTCAACCCCTATTCCAACTATATCAACATAAAAAAGTCTTCCGAAGGTTTAAAACTGAAGCAGACGAGAGTTAAGGAGGAACAGAAGCCATAGAAACCAAACGTGCGACTAAAGCAGATGAGCTAAACAGATGAGAACCGAAGGACTCGTACCGAGACGACGCATGTGTACGAAAGGCCGAATGACGAACGATGGCGTGAAAGGAAAACAACCACACGATCGGTCCAAGCAGATGAGTCGAGTAACGAACAATGCCCTAATCCAGTCACAGAAAAAAGAAGCTTCGAACAATGCATGCAAAACCGCACTGCATAGATGTAGATGAAGAAGTCGTTCTGAGGAGCAGAAAGAGACGAGATGTGCATTCGATCTGCCGAAGCCGAAGCCCTAGCTCGGGTAACCATTCTCGTCGCCTGAGCGCTTCTTCAGGCTATATCGGGTCGCCATCTGTCTATCTATCTATCTATCTATCTATCTATCTATCTATCTATCTATCTATCTATCTATCTATCTATCTATCTATCTATCTATCTATCTATCTATCTATCTATCTATCTATCTATCTATCTATATATATATATACATGTATGAATATTTATGTATGTATAACCCTCAAACAACTAAAAGAAAATTCAAATAATCTGATAGAAGGAATAAAAATAAAACATAATAAAGAATAATTAAGAGAGAATAATTTCTTCCCCTCAAATAATAAAGGAAATTCAATCAATGTGGTCCACTGTTATTTGCATATCAACACCTAGCCTCTTCCAAAGAAAATATTCAGATGAAACGATCAGTTTCAACTAAGATCATGTGGAATTCTCAAAATTGAGCCCATTGTCGGTTTAGTTCAGCTTTGAGTAGGGAAAACGTCACTTTTTTCCGAAGAATTTTCCCAACCAAAGTTTTTTCTAACTTGTCCATCTTACCTTTGACCGCCTCCATGTTTAAAGTGACTCTCACCCCATCTCTAGAGATATCCTTGATGGCTTGAAATTTAATAATTTTAATAGGATCAGGTTTATGCCAAAACCCTTGCACTGGTCCAAGCTGATTTGAAGTTCTAACATGCACTTGCTCATGTTTCTTTATACTAGAGATATTTTTTGCCTCAAAACCCATACGGTCACTAGGCACATTGTTACTAATGGCAAAGAATAACTATACAGTGTTTTGAAGCCCTATT